AATTACATTCAGTTCTTGAATTTTTACTTGGCATGGTAACATTTCCAAAGAGCAATTGTTTTACAATCAGAACTTCTGCAGCCTGTTCGCTTCTTTTTTCTTACTTAGCTGTTCAGAGACCATCAGACACCAAGCAAGCCAATAATGTCTGTCCATCCAAACAATTATATAGCAAAAACATCAAATGAAACAAACTGTCTTTTCTTGCAGGTCCAAATTAAAGAGGCAAAACTGACAGTATCGCTAGAGATAATTCATTTGCATGGCAATTATTATCTCTTCAATAAACATCAGGTGTTAATGCATTTAAAAATCCTGATTTTAAGAAAGATTTTCTTCCAAGATAATCTTTCAGTACTGGAAGATACGGGACAGAATTTTTATTAAAAAAAACTTTTACAAGTACTCAAGAATGTGTTAGTTGTTCCTAGGTGCTTGTATATAAAGTTGTGCTAAGGGTTGTGTTTATAAGTCATGAGCTTGTGCCTGCAACATTTGGATGAGAAGCTAGTCTCTTTGTAGGCTAGAAAAACACTGTATGGAGTTTTCAATTACTCTAACACTAGAAATCTCCTGTAGCATTTTTGAAGATGCTCTCAGTAAAGAGATTAAGTCATTTACTGCTTTTCCTGCAGATCTAATTGGAAAGAAAATAAATTCCTTTACACACAACTACAAATGTGCAAAAAGATCACAAACACAAAACATCCTTCCTAATATCCATGTTACCTGTGAAAGTCCTGAGTAAGAGCCATTGCTGAATCCCCGGGCTCTGATGGAAGAAAATATACAATTTGCTAAGAAACTGATTTTGGTATGATACTTGTGAAAGAGATCAAAAAGAACCAGTTAATGCATCTCTCAGGATTGAATAGATACCTGCAGGCTCCATCCTTTGTTTCAGGGCTTGTGTGCAACGTAGAAGTGAGAAAATGACATTAAATGAATATTGTTTGGAGCCTCAGATTAATTGTTTTTATTAACAGGACATTGGCATTTGAACATTTCCATCCCTGTAATCTCCAGATATTCAGCAAAGTTTAGACAGTATAAATTGTCCTTATGTGTGGACAATGTCTCCCTTGGTTCTCTTTATAGCTGGAGGAGAATACGACCCTATTTTATCAGCCTACTTTAGGTGGTATGATTCATACCTTTAAGATGCTTTCTTCTCCTTCTTGATCACAAAAGCAGACAGTGACCAGCTCAGAAGCACATATTTATATAACAGATTGCTCAAGTTAGGGGGAGTGATTCCTACACAAAAGCACAAGCGTACACACTACACCTGGATGCACATCCCTTCTCCTGTGGTCCACTGCCGATCTCAAGTGACAGCTGGTCAAGCAGTGCCATAAGGCCCTGCTGGGCTGCAGGCAGCTCCCAAGGCCTTGTTTTAGCAGCGGTCAGGACCCCTCAGAGGTTTCCTCTCTCCCTCTTCATCCATTCTTGACCTGGAAAAAGAAGATACAGATTTCAGGACTGAAAATCACAGCACCATCTTTTCTTCCAGTTTTACTTTACTGTTGTAGAAAATTACTGCACAGTTTTAAAGCAAAACCTCTACTAAAAACCCAAGAGCCTTCTCTAGTTACAGCCCTATCACTGTGTTAACACGAGCAGTTTAGCAGTGCATGGCACGTTGTTCCCACTAAACACAGTTGGTGGGTGCAGCAACAGGGGGACAGGTAACCCTTCCTCATTGTGCTTTGACTTTGCTTTCAGGTTATTTCAAAGAGAGGTTAATAAAGGCTGTTTCTCTTTGAGCAAGGCTTGCTTTCTGTGATCATTTTCTGATAATATCATTTGTTTTCAGCCTGGTATTAGGGTTGTGGAATGAGGTCCCCCTGGACACCCATGACTTTGTGCTTTACCTGGCAGTAAACATCTCAGATCCTTCCCTTGTCATTTGATCTGGGATAAAAGAAATCTAACCCTTTCTCAAGGAAAATTAATAAATAAATAAATAAAAGGGGGAAAAAATCCTTCACTGGGGGAAGGAAAGCTTATAGCAAAGATGGGATGCATACTGCGGTGGTGGCCATTTCCTGGCAAGGAAAATCAAGCCCGAAGGTCAGGCTGTTTATTAAGCCAACGAAATGTTTCACTGTGTGCCTTGTGCCTGATTCTGCAGCAAATGGCAGAAACAACCTTGAAACAACCCCATGTGCCATGAAAGGGCTGAGAGAGCAATACAGCGCTTTAAGCTCTAAGAAGAAACCTCTGTGACAGCTCTGGTGCACATTTGGTGTGCTTGTAAAAAATCCAGTCTCAAATAATTTATTGTGGGTGTAATGAAATATGTTTAATTTGATAGAAAGTTTTTGATAAGATACCCGCAGAGGCAGCATGTGAATGTTTCCTAACTGGCATTTGAGAAAGCCAACATGATTTAATCAGCACTCATTTTAAGTTGACTTGTAATTGCCTGCACAGGAAAGGTAAAAACTGAGTTCCCCTGTAACTGTGCAATTCTGTTCTCAACATCCAGCTGGAATATAATATTGCTGCATTGGCTTGCAGGCCTGTGGGGTTTAAATAGTGTCTGCAATCTGGTGCCATGCTGATTTACTAATCCTTGATCTTAGTTGAACATGATCACAGTCCCTGCTTCTGTTCATAAGGGATAGGCTTACTGTTAATTGACAGGCTTTGGCGTCCTACCAAAAGAACTGCAATGTAGAGAAGGAACTAAAACTGAGCAGAGGATGTATCTGACAAGCCAATTTGAGGGGAAAAAAAATCTATTTAGAAGATCTTTTTGCCAAAAATTATTTTCTATTTTATTGTTTCATTACAACTAGGGTATGTGATTTGCATTTTAACATGAAACAAATAAAAACAGAGTCATCTGAAATGTGTTTGCAGGGTGATTAAGTAACTAAGACGTGGTGTTTGGAATCTTCCCAGCTGCTCTGCTTTCCATGTATTTAAGTCTTGTGTGAACTTCAGTGCTCGTGTTTGCTTGCAGAGCTAGTGTGTCATTCTGCATGCTATGCATACGTACGCAGTCTCACACTTCTGATATTGCTCAGAGATTTCAAAGTGATTGTATCCATGGGTTGGGGCAGCTGCCATTTTATTCCAAGTTTGAAATTTGATGGAAAAACATTAACAGGCTGTAATTTCTTTTCCAGTTACACCCCCCTCCCTCCCCCCCAGAAGACTCAGGCTTATTTATTTTTATTCAGAACTGTTTTCCCCAAGTTTTGAACCCTTTCACTAGCTTTCTAAACCTGGCAAAACTTCAGAGAAAGCATATTGTGAGGGCAGGCTGAAATCCTCTTAAATACATTTGTCTTCATTCCTGCTGGCCTTGCAAACCTCAGACATATTAAATTGAAGGGCAGTGCTTAAGTGAGTGTGGCATTCTAGCAAACTGATATATTCCACCGGACAGCTTTCTAGCCTTCAGTATGGCTGAATGTACCAACATAGGTATGCCTGTTTGAGGGCAATGAGATGCTGGCACAGGCTGCCCAGAGATGGTGTGGATGCCCTACCCCTGGAGATGCTCAAGGCCAGGTTGAATGGGGCTCTGGGCAGCTGAGCTGCTGGGGGGCAGCCCTGCCTACACTTACAGCAGGGAGGTTGGGACTGGATGGTCCTTGAGGTCCCTTCCAACCTAAGTCATTCTGTGATAAGATTCTGTGATGATACTTTTAATTCTGTCTTGTGTTTTGGGTTTGTCACTCACACTAACTTTGAGTCCACCAATGTAAGTGGTTTGAATTGTGTGGAAACTACTTGCACTGTGAGTCACACTCTGGGGAGCTTCACAGTTATGGTGATCAGCTTTTAGGTAATATTTTGAGGGTTTTTGGTGGCAAAGGCTGTGAAATAAGAGTCGTCTCATAAATTTGTGTGTAACCCATCTGTGAAGCTTGTGGATAGTGAGAAGAGATGTTCACATCAACTAAATTAGGTTAAAATTGTATGTGGACATTCTCATTCAAACTTAACATAGGCTTAATTCTTGGTTTCACATATTTGATGCCGTGATGATTGAAAAGTGTTTCAAATCAGGGCAACTTTAATTCTGAATAGGAATTTGCCTACATGGGAGGCAAATATGCACCTACAGTGCATTAAAAAAAAAAAAAAAAAAGGCTACATTAGCTTGTGTACACTAAAAATCTCTTATCTTGAGTGAGAGAAGAACATATTTGCTTAATGTTAGAGGTTGAAAAATGATTTGCTATGAGAGGAACTTAAAAACAAAAGGTGAAAAATAAGGCCCATTCTCAATAAGTGATTTAAAAATAATCCCTATAAAAGTTAGGAGAGTTTCTAATTAAACAAATTGTCTGGAAAGCTTAGACATTCCCTAATGAGTCGTCGTGTGAATGTGGAGACAACACTCAGCCATTAAAGCGCAACACGGGTTTACTTTATTTGCAAATCTCAGAGCTGCCTCCTCCAGGAAGTTCCTTCTCACCCTTCATTAATAAGACCTGCTCGTGAGGGCCACCTGCAAACGACTGACAACTTATAAAAATATTTTATTGTTAAAAGTACTTATTTCAAAAATAGGTTTGTGCATTGGCAGAGGCTTTTGACTAAAGTTAATAAATGTTAGGTACAATTAAGTAGCTCACTAATAATTCGAAAATGGGGAAAGGTATCGGAAGGATGCTTTAAAAGTCTTGAGTTTGAAATGAGGGCATGTATGTTCAAAGACAACCCTGCAAAAAAAAGAAAAAAGAAAAAAGTATTGTGGGGAGAATGTAATGTATTTACAGAGCTCAAAAGGGTGTGCTCTGTGAAGGTATTGATAGGCAGTCTGTCCTTTTTTCAAGTCTTATCTTCAGGGTAGCAGAGCTCAAATGTGCCAAACACTTCTCGTGTTCAACTCTGATTGCATCTGTGCAATTTTCTCTGAGATTTATGTCTGGTGTAAATGAAAGCAGTGGGCATTTGATCTCATTGTCTCGTTATATTTAACATATTTGTTAGATTAACCGATTGCCTAAATGTTTTTATTCTTATCACATCTGCAGTGCCAGAACTTCATGGATCAACAAAGGGATGTTGGCTGGACAAATAACCAAGTGACTGCTGCTTCAGGCAAGAAATGCAGGCTCAGAAGTGTGCCTACTCCATCCAGAGAGAACAGAGCTCATGTACCTACTGAATTCATGGTACTGTGAGGGAGGGACAAACATTGTTCTAAGATTTTTCTCAGAACTTGGATGTGCATCACATTTTCACAGTTCTTGGATGTGCATCCCTCATATACATATTTTGCTTCTTGTTTAAGGAGAGACCTTGGAAAAGGCAAAGGCTTCTGAAGCAAGGAAGGCAAAAGAAGCAGCAGCGGGGCAAAAATAGTGATTTTACTCCTTGACTTTTGTCTCTTAGAGAAAATGTTCTAGCAGAATATTTCTGTACCGTGGTACTTGCTTGTGCTCTGCTACCCCAGCACGCATCCAGCTTATCTGAATGTAGCTGTAAATCACAGAAATAGGAAATCAATTGTTGCTGTCTTTGTGTTGCAGTTCTTAATTCTAGAGGCTTTTGGTACGTGGTGGTTTGCTGGAAGTCAGATTTCCTTAGCTCTCTGAAGGGACTCATGGGGTCTAATGTTTTTCTTGGTGTACATCTGGATTGGAAGAAATAATGTCTGCTCTTGCCTGGATGCTTCTCTCTCTGATGTGAATTGGTGTTTGGGGATACCGCTGCTGGCATTCCAGAAGAGGTGAGTTATTTGGTCCTTGGCTGTGCTTGGTCTTAAAAAACCTTTCAGCATCACCCAGTGGGACTATAAGTTCCTCTGTAGCCAACTGGGCCATTCATTGGGTCATTGAAGTGGTCTTTATTTATGTATTTGTTATACTGCACTTGCCAGGGCAATGTCAAAATAAATTAAATATTATATTTTCTCTGAAAATGCTGCTCTGAGACCTGAGTGGTGGATGTGGGAGACAGAAACCAGTAATGTGCCTTCCTACATGTTTTTATTTGTCTAGTTTTAGTCTATCTTCCTCAAATGTTATCTCTACCATTAATCACCTGTTCATTTCTCATGATTGCTGTGGCAGAGAGAAGCTTCAGAAGGGTTTTGAAAGAGAAGAAAACATGAACCTTATGAATCAACTCAGGAGCTCAAACTGAGGCTGCAGCCCAACCAGAGAGGGGGTGGGATCGGTGGAGTCGAAGAAACAAGAGGCAGTACAGAGAATGGCATAGGGTTAGATGGGAAGGACAAGACAAAAGCACTGAGCATGGCAGAGTGAAACAAAAAGACTGGTAAACTGGTTATAGGGCAGAATGTCAGACAAGGAAATAGGCATTTACCACTTTGCCTGTAAGACAGCTGTGTAAGCTGTCTGTTCTAGCTTCACAGTCAGACATTGGAGCAGGAGTTTTCTGTCTGGGTTGTCCTGGAGTGTGCACTATTCTTTGGTTGTTCAGAATGACCAGGAATTTTCAATCTCTCTAAATTTTTGAAGTATGCTTTTCTACTCATGAGAAGAGAAACTCCTGGACAAATAACAGATCTTATCACTGAAGCAGCGCAGGAGCAGAGGCTTCTTGTCTCAGCACAGGCACTGTGCTGAGATTGCCAAGCTCCATGGCCACATGTGTGTCCCCGTCATGCTTCTTTCAAAGCGCACCAAGAAGCTGGAGTCTGCATATTATAAAACACTGGTAATTTTTAATTTTCCTCTTACCCAACTTGAATGTCATTGTTTCCCTTACGTGGGCCTTCTTTGTTCTCCCTCATGATGTATTTTCTTACCCAAAAAACAACTGGGAAAGTTTGAAACTGTATCCATCTCACAGTGCCTACAAAATCCACACCAATTAGACATCTCATAAAGCACAAATCCATGCTCATTTAAAAGTGGGTGGGGGGAATTGCCCAAGACATAGAGTATCTTGCCAAAGTTTTGTTCAGAGCTAATTTTTTTAATGAGGCCTTTGTTGCTGCTATTATTTTTGTTTTAAATCTTTGAAAATAGGATTTGACGCTGACCTGCTGAAAGGCCTTATCCAGCGGTACTGCTGGCACTAAGTCACAGGGTAAACACAGTCCTGCAGTACAAGTGACAATGGACCACAGCTTGAAAATTATTGGCCCATCCGCCCAGGAGTGGGAGCTTGTGAACCACTGCCTTTGAATCTCCTTCCTGTTTCCTTTATGAATTTCATCATGAATGATATTAAAAGCAGCACTTCTTTGCTTTTGGCCGTGTAACTGGAAAAGCACGAGCACAGAAAGGCATTACCTTTAATAATCATCCTTACTCAGACACTCATCCTGATTTTCCTTTCCTTCTCTTTGCACACAGGCCTCCAACTCTCCTTGCCCATACCCTGTAATTCTTCCAACATTGATCCTTTCGTCCTGCTGCAGTTTCTCCTAGCAATGTGGCCCACCAATGTGCTGAGCAGGGGTTGGAGCAAGCAAGAGACAATGGTGTCCCTCCATCCAATGCCACCTTTGTGCACTGGTTATCAAGAAGCACTGGATCTACTCAGTGTGGTGTGATAGTAGAGCATCAGGTCTAGGAGGAACTTCATGCCCCAGTGAGCCTTGATTCAAGAATACATCCCATGGCAGACAGGGTCTTTCTTCCCTTCTGGCCAAAGGGGGCTTGGCTCCCTTTGTGCCCATCCAGCAAGATGCTTCTGAGACACAGTAGTTGTACTGTATCTTTCATTCACCTGGAAGTATAGAGAAGGCAGTGCTGAGGGTCTGATCTCCTGCATTTGTTCCTTGGATGCCCTCCTGAACATGTGAGCTCAGGCTCTTGCTTAGCAACATCATCCTGCATGGAACATCCCTCTCCTTCTGGAAATGCTGGAGCATTTCTCCATGGTTTGGGCTGCTGTGACTGCTGAGATACACTGGCTTGCTAAGCTGCCACACCTAGTTTGATGGGTTGATGGTTAGACAAGGTGATCTTAGTGGTCTCTTCCAACCTTAATGAGTCCATGATTCTGACTGCTTTTGTCTCTGCCAACCATTGCTTGTTTTTACCTGCAGTTTGCAGCCACTCAGACTGAATGTGTTGTGAAGATATCTTTGTTGTGCCACCACTGCCACCACAGCCACCCAAAAGGCTGACAGATCTGTGTTGGCCTTTCAGTCCCTCTGATCATTTGTGTACTGTTTGTAAGGCACTTTATCATCTTGGTCATTCCTTGGCTTTATTTAGCATTTATTTCTCCTCAACTCATTCCAAAATCTAATATTATTTGGTCTATTGAGATTGCTAAGTGTGAACAGAATGTTCATTTAAATTTATGATTGGAATGTTAATATTTTCCTGTATTTGCTTTGTCAGAGGACTTTCTGGAAGTATAGCCCCTATTTGATGAAATAGATTGCTGCTAAATTAACAAAGGACTATCAAGGATACAATTATTTGTTTGTGACAGAAAACCCATTTAACAGCAACTAGTCCTAATGAACTCTGTAATAAAATAGATTTGCTTGTACATTAGTGTTTTTGTACTGTATTTTTTGCATGAATTGATGAATATCGTGATCTGTGTGTTTGTATCTGTGGGAATTTAAGCCTTAGCATGCACATTTGCTGCGCTTGAACTGAGAGATCCCAAATATGCATGCACTGTTTCAACTAATTGCCCCAAATCAGTTAAGTTTTGCATTTTCTCTGTGTGTAGATGTAGCTCTTAATCATAAACAAAAGCCCTCTGTGTAACGGCACTAAGCAAAAAAACAAGAACCAATGTAATTTGGGCTTCAGGTTTTTCTATGTATACGCACTGTAATTAGTTCATAAGTCCTTGTCACAGCAACATTCTTCATGCACACCTCAGCATCTTGCTTGCTACAGGTTTTGGGCTGCAAAAAGCTGTTTTGAAAGCTCATTCTTCAGATTGAGCACTATCTCACAGACTTACTTAGTTTATCAGACGTAATATCTTCCTCATGATACCATGGTATTGTTGTACTGACTCCTATGTGTATCCCTTTATAAACATCCTAGGAGAGCTTCTTTCCCTTTCAGTATTACTGGCTTTTGTTTCTATTTGTTTGGCTGTTGTTTTTTTGTTTTGTTTGGTTTTCTTTTTCTGGGACCACAAATAGAAAATGGTGTCTGTCTTATCTTATGCTCGTGCTACTTTTTTTCTGCACATGCTGTGACCCTTTCTGCTAGAGCACAGATTTGTCATGGTAAATTATACATAGCTCAATCTCATGTGGATTTCAGTGCTTTAAGCTGCAGAGTTCCTTCACTATTTTCATTAGAGTCTAGCACCCTTCATTAAGCGCTTTTCTTTCTATTACGGTTTTAAAGAGAGTCAATACTGTTCTGATGTTTCTTTGGTTGCTTTGTTGCAGACTCTACAGATGGGTTTTTTTTTGCAGCAACATGTATGCAAGCTACTATTTATACAGTGCATGTGCTGAGAAATATCACAGATCTGTTTACAGCAAGAGATGGGAATTTGAGAAGTACTCTTCATATTCTCCCTTTCATTCTTGACTCTTGCTATATTTCTCAGGCTAATTCTGTGAGGTCTTTGTGGCACGATTCTTGTTATTTGCTATGATTTACTTTGGCCCTGTATTGGTGAGCTGGGGACTGTCCAGATGGTTCCGAAGCCCCTACAGCTTTGTTTGATCAGATGAAGCCGTTCACAGAGATGCTTTTCATTGCGTTACAAGAGCTCTGCCCACACTGTGCTCTGCTGAGCCCATCTTATCTTCAGCAAGTGGGGGAAGCACCTTCTCATTCTCATTGAAATGAAACTACACGAAGGGAAATATGGCACTGAGAAAGGATAGAAGAGGCGGGAATCCATTTTGTCTGTTTTTATCTTTTAGAGCTTGGAAATAGGTGGGTCAACTGTGCTGCCAGACCAAAGGAGAGACAGCTGATGTTTGCTGATGCTAGGTATGCAGTAAGGGAGACTCATAAAGAGTCCTTCTGCAGCTCTTCTGATGCTGAATGGCACTGAGTATAATCCCACTAGAGGCTGCATAAACTATTTATTGAGCTGATGCAAGAGGAAGATGGGAGCTTGGTCCTGCCCTGCCATGCCCACAGACAAGAGTTAGCAGAGCTGATGAGGAAGGGGAAGAGGAGGCCCCATTCAAAACACACGAGGCTCCATCCTCTCAGACAGCTAACCTGATGAAGAATTGCATGATAATTCTGCTGAGTTATCTCTGCCCTTCACACCTTTCTCCACCATACCTGGACTGTAAAAGGCAAATACAAGTCTTTCACATACAAAAAACAAATGCACGAACTCATTCAATAGGTGTGTTGAACAAAAGAATTTTGCGTGGACTTCCCAGCTCCAAATTGTAATTTCTGCCTGTAACTAAGCAGTTCTTGAAATGTTACAGGGAAGAATGGATAAATCCCAGGTTAATGGTGCATACATCTCCCTATTTTGGTACAGCAGGAAAAAACATGAAGTAGCTGCTCCACGTAGAAAAGATGAAGCACTGTGGTGAAAAGTGGAAAAGTGTCCTTGTTCAGTTTAAAGTGAGGGTATAAGTTCTGGTCCTAACTCTCAGAAGGGGGTGCTGTTACCTCATCTGATTCCTTTGTGTTTTATATGTATATCTGTATGTTTATAGGCATATGTACATATATGAAAACCCACTGGGATTTTAAAAGCAAGCCAAAACATTTGTGTCCTCCTATATTCTACTCTAGCTTAACTTTTTCAGAACAGCTCTAAAGAAGTTGCTGCTTTTGTTTTGATGACTAACCAGTGCAGCATGCTAAAATAAAATAAAATAAAATAAAATAAAATAAAATCATTAGATTTACAGCAATATGTGTTTCTTTTGAAAAGTATGAATATCCACAAAAAAAAAAAAAAAGGGAATAAAAGGCACATAAAAATTGGGTTTTTTTCAGACAGTACTTGGAAAACAATCTACTATATTCAGGAGGTGAAAAGAATGTATCAAAGTAAGTGAATATCAATGAAAAAGCACAGATTGGAAGCAATCTCTTTTACTAAGAAAAATATATGATATTTTGTGTTATAAAATCCGGAAATAAAAACAAGTGCATAATGTTGCTGCATTGCTGCTACTTTTTTTTTTTTTTTTTAACTCCAGAGATTCTCTGATTATTAAAGCTGACTTGTTTACTCCTTGCTCCTCACTGATTTAATTTACACCTGTATAAATAAACAAATAAATAAATAGTTGTGTATGTCCATCTTGGGCACATTGCCACTGAATGTGTCTTGTGGCTGACTTTCTTCTTTTATTTCCTGACACCTGCCCAAACCTGTAAGCACTCAAAGATATGCTTCATCTGTCCACTACCAAAACCCTGTTTTGGACAAGGATTCCTAGAACAGGAATCTCTCTCCATTGCAATCCAAAGGAATGGCCAAGCTCATGTGCTCAGTGCCTCAGTTAGACTGAATACAACAAACAGTAAAAGCGATGCTTTTTTCCAAGGGTCCTGCAAAGTTAACCTAGTATCTTTGGCAGGTAGTAGAGCTCACCAGTAGATTTCCATTACAGTCCATTAGGAAACTCTACTCTGCTTGTTGATTGAATGTACCCGATGAAATGAATGTATGAAAAATGAATGAAGTAAGAATGTACTTAACTGACTGCCTTTCACACAGGAATTCTCAAAGTAGCACCTACTTTAAATAGGGACTTTCTTTTGTGGATGTTTGGCTCATGGCACTGAAATGATGTAAAACCACAAATCTTTGGTTTCCTGAGGACTGCCCATCATTCTAATTTTCTTACACTTTGTCTCCATAGCGGCCATTTCAATACCTGACTGCAAGAGAGGGGATATGAAGGCTCGTCATAACACAACATCATCATGACAATAACCCTGGTCTCAGCTGAAGTTTGGATGTAGAAGGAATTCAATGTGGAACTTCAGTAGCTGCTCTCTGTAAGCATTTCCCAAGCACTTGGAGCCCTGTGAATTTTTACTGGTGACACAAGAGAACTGTGTTTGTTAGGGTCTTAGATGCCTGCCTTAGGGTGAGATGAAGTGCCTCTGAAGATGCATGTTTCTTTCCAATGAGATAAAGGAACCCCGGCTTCAGAACAAGACATCTGAATTTAAAATGCTAAAACATGAATCCCAACTGAGATCCCTGGGAAGTCAGTCTGGCAAGGTTCAAGTGATTTTTACTGTAATTGTCTAGTCACAGAGAACTGGATAGCATTACATTGTCTATTCCTTTTTTTTTTTCTTTTTCATGTTTCCGAAGTGACTTTATAACCTCTTCTTGTTGAAGCTAAGCTAGGACAATAACCACACACAGCTTATATATACATTTAAAGTAACACTTGAGAGTAAGCAAGGGACTACTGACATATTTACTGTTAAGCACATGGCTAAATTTCTGAAAAGATGAAACTTGAGGGGATTAGCTTATATGCTTAGGCAGTAAACTGATTTCTTAATGTATGGAGTATGCTTGGGATTCTGGACATGCCTAACAATGCAGAGAGTGAACAAAAAATAGACTTCTTCAAAGACACAGCATCTAGAGAGAGCCAAAGGCAGATGTCACTTCATCAACTCCTTGAAGCCCCTTATGGAAGAAGTGCGGTTTTGAGAACACAAGTATTGTTAGATAGCATTCAGAATAGTTGCAGGAAGACTGGCAAGGAATAAAGACCAGGCATTCAGTTTGATGGCTTTATATTTGTACTTTGTAAAAATGTATTTTGAAAAGCAAGGAGTCTGGTTATTAGGATCTAACTTAATAATGTTTGTAATAATCTCATGTAGAATTGTCCACTATCAAGATTTTAGTGATTTGTTGTAGCCAACAGTGACCTTGCTTGCACTCTGTGCTTGTAATAATCTTCTAATTACTAGAGCTCAAAATCTCTGGGAGTAGTTTTAGAAATGTCATGTTCTACTGTCTAGAAGAATCACTCCATTTTGCATAACTGAACACGGACGCCCAGAGGAGTGGGGTTCGGATGCATGTTCTGGAGGCATCTCTAGGTGCTGGAGGGTCACTGCTGTTCAGGTGGTCGTCATCCTTGGAAGACACTGCGTGTGGAATCCCTTTCTGGTGTGGTGATGTGAAGGTTCACTTTCTGTCCTCATGTCCAGGGTCTGGATACTTTTTCCTGGCACACAGAGCTGAGTGAAGCTAAGGCTTGCTCCTATCCTGCAGCTACCCAAGGGCAAGGGCTGAGGTGCCAGCTGGAGCATGTGACCTGAGCGCAGTCTCCCATGCTCTGAGAGGCGCTGGGCCAGGTCTTGACTCCCAAAATAAGAAAGCAAAGCTAATAAAGTGGATATGTAACAAAATCAGTGTGAAGCAGACTGTGTCATTGCCTTCTCTCTGAATAATGCCAGCAGACAGAAGGAACTAAACCTGCACATCTGAGTGGGGAGAACTTCTCATTACCAAAAGCATTTAAGAGGTGCAGGAATAAAGCCCTAATGATGCCACTGATAGCTTTTTTTGCAAGAGAAGTAGATCAGTCTGTGTTAGAGAAGACTGATATAAATCCCCACAAGAATTTGAGTGAAAAACAGTGATGCCATTTTAGATTTTTGCCCCATTTTAGACCTATGTCATGGTGCTGGGCATAAACATCTTGTTCTTTTGGTACAGGTCGCACAGCTCAATGAATAAAGGTAGCACAGCATCTTTTTCCTCTTTCCCATCCATTTGTACTCTCCCTGGCATCAGCTGCAGCACACATTGCTGTGTGCATATAATCACATACCGGGGGGGTCATTGAGTCCCTCCATGTCTGACACAAGTACAAGGCTGAGTTCTCCAGTACACGTGGATAAAACCATGCTAAAATACAGACCATGAGATTCAGTAGAAAGTGATTTCAGATGTCTCCCAGCACTGTGCTGGTGTATAAACAGCTGCAATTGGAAATTCTAAGCTACAGAAAATGGGAGATGGTAACCTCTTGTGCACAGGATTTAAAACTATAGGATCATTGACCTCAAATGGTTTATGTAGCCTGGGAAATCGAGAGTTAAGCAGCTTGCAAAGCTACAAAAGCCAGCCACTAGTCTGGAGAATAGGAGCCTTCTTCTAGTTTTCCTGCTGATATTCAATGTTGTTTCAATCAAAGTACAGGTAGCACTTGAAGAATGACAGATCTTGTGAGCTTTATATACCAGAATAATGAGATTATGCTTCATGACCCTGCTGCATTTGACTTTTACATTAGAGAATATGATTCAGGAATTCATTTGAACAATCCACAAAAATAAAATGAGAAGACTTGGAAAAAAAAAATGCTGGTTTCTTATTAATTGTACATTGTAACTGACTCATGGGAGAGGAAGAATCATAATGAAGAAAATCAGAAATAAAAGAGACCCACAATGCTAATGTGAATCGGTACTAAAAAATTACAAAAATATCATGAAAAGCATAGAAAACCATATTTCTCTTACTAGATTTATTCTTATAATATTATCACATTTAAAAAAATACAATTTTAGAAAAAAAAAAAATGAACTATAGCTTTTTGCAGTGATAGGCGACAGGTCAGAAAAGCATTTCAGAATAATTTTACACCTTTTAACCTTAAAAAATACTTTGCTGACAATTGAGAAAGGGCCTTAAAAGAAGCGCTGATAGGCATTCTCACAGCAGGGTTGCCATGTCCCATCACATAGCAGAGGGTTTCTGCATAATGTATCCTGTAATAAGAAGTGTACTGCAAATCACAAGGCTTGAGTAGCAGTTTTAAGAAAGTAATCCTTGGCATGAGCTGCTATTAGTGATGACACTGAAAGTTTGTTACGGAAAACTCTTTAGAAGGCACAAAGAAGGTAAACTGTCTCAAATTTCGATTTGAGCCTTGAAAGAACTAGTTTGTCATAGAAATTTGTCTGCATTTGAATATAGATTTAGTGGTCTCTGTCTTTTCATTTTTGCTTATGCTTGGACAGCCTTGTTGAACGAAAAGCACAGAGTTTGGCTAAATGAAGGTCACTTTTCTCTCGTTCTGTGCTGCAAATGGCAATTGTTCAAAAAGTGTTTTAACAATTACCGGTATTAATTATGAGTGCTAATACAATTAGTGATTGCTGAGAGTCCCAGTGTTGCAAAGCCTTTACAAATGGGGTAAAAACTTGGGGGGGGGGGGGAAATCCAGTATAACAAAGAGTAAATCGGCCCCTCAAAGCACAGCAAGCTACATTCACGTTTTAATAGGTAGGCTAATCAAAATGGGATGTGAATCTAGAAGAAACCTTCTGTTGAAATTAATTTTATTTTTGTCTGGAAATGTAAATAAAAGAAAACGTGAAGGGGCCATTTCCAGACAAGTTCTTTTCAGTGTTAATGATGCAAATCAGTGAAGTTTCTCAGTCCCTGAGGGATCTTTTTGTCTTTCTCATTTCCATAAGAATGATTTTTAGGTGATTAAAATAAAAATCTAATGGAAATAAAAATTCTTTATACTTTTCTCACAATACAATTTAGTTGGTATCTGGGAGAAAAGAAAAAAAAAAAGAAAAAGAAAAAAAAAAAAGAGCAGAGCTGTAATTGACTTTAGCTCTATAACAAACCTTCCTAAAAGAGGACTGGTCATAAAATAGTTTTATGTTTCGAATGGAGACATTTTGGTTGCCTTCAGTAGTATATGAGAGAAGTTGCAGCCATCTGAAAGCTTGATGTTTCAGTGCATCCCAAGTGACAGGGAATGAAATGTATCATTGTGCTGTTTTCTAAGTGGGTAGTATCAAAAAGGGACATCCATACATATGAATTAAAACTTTGGCTTATGATGTTTTCGACAAAGGATTTTTTTCAGAGCTAGGTTCTTGTAGGATTGATACTGAAATCCTGAAGGAGTGCTGGTCATTTGAAATGACTCTTACTGCCGTCCTTCTTCCACAAATAAACGACTATTGTGACAGTTAAAAGGTATTTGCTATAAACTATTTGCTATACATTGTTCAGGGCTCAGCAAAAAGCAGCATCACATAGCGACAGGACTGGAAATGACCGCAGCCTGGAGCTGAATTACTCCCCATGGGATCCTCTTCTGCTGCCAATGAACCTACATGGAGACTCACATTGTCCCAGGTCTGTGTTGCAGGGGAACAGAGTACTTTTTGGTATTGACTTGCTGTTTCCCATCTGATGCAATACACAGCAAGGTCACTGTCTCCCAGCTCTTCTCCAAATCCTCACTGGATCATTCAGAGGGTGGTGATGCACTGGAACAGGTTGCCCAACGAGGCTGTGGATGCCCCATCCCTGGAGGCATTCAAGGCCAGGCTGGATGTGGCTCTGGGCAGCCTGGTCTGGTGGTTGGTGACCCTGCACATAGCAAGAGGGTTGAAATTAGACGATCATTTGAGTCCTTTTCAACCCAGGCCATTCTATGATCCTATGATTCTATGATCCCCCAGACACTGAGATCTCTCCACACTCCTACCAGAGTCATAGCTGGTGGGCAGTGGAAAAGATGAAATAGGATCATATAATGGAACAAAGCAGGCTGTAGCACTTGGCTTCTCTTAGGGAAGACTTCCCTTAGCTTCTACTCCAAGATTATATCAAGATCCTTTGCACGTGAATTTCAGGACTCAGCAAAGTGAAAAGATGAGCTATTTGCCAAACTACTCCTTTTGGGGCCAATAAGCAAGTGGCCTGAGATCTCTAAGAGCAAAATGGGAGAATTCCACATATGGCAATATTTTTCCAGTGCAGGACTTACTACTTTGGATGTAGGCATCTAAAAAGATTTTGTATTCTTCCTCTTGGCATCCTTTCTCTGCAAATTTTCATAGAATCATAGAATCATTGAGGTTGGAAAAGACCATCTAGTCCAACTCCCCCACCATGCCCACTGACCGTGTCCCTCAGTGCCACATACACACAGTTCTTGAACACTTCCACAGACAGTGATTCCACCACCTCCCTGGGCAGCCTGTGCCACTGCGTCGCTACTCTTTGTGAGAAGAAATTTTACCTGATATCCAACCTGATGCTGTATCCCCCAGAGAAACAACACGGGCTGGGATAGCTGTAATGAGATGTGCAATAGGGTTGCTTTGGAAGTGTTGAGAAAGAACATCCAGAACTATGAAATTTTCTTCCACAGCTTGCTAAATTGGCTAGAATGAGGAGTCACATTGTAATTCATTAGTGCATTCATTGGTAAGGACTGTGAAAATTTTGCTGCTTGTCCTAGAAAATAAGCCAAAGACAGACAGCACTGCCTAGATTTCAGTAGAGAACACAAAGAAGAAGGATAACGTAGTTCCCAGGTGCTCCCTGAGCTCCTGTTACTGCTGTTTCTCTCACTCTGGTGTTGCCTGGTGTGTGACATTTCCTCAGCACAGCCTTTCATGGAGGGAACTGGAAGCACATCGTACCTTCATTATGTGGTTCTAACAAGGATTTTGACTTCCTATGGAAAAAAATAATAATAAAAAAATAGGTGGTGGACCAGCAGTGGGGCTGCTCTTTGTTTCTGTTTGCAAAATTCAAGTTTCGGGTCTGCACTTCACCTTCTTCCACCATTGGCACCTGCACCTAAACCACCCAACACAACACCTGGCGTGAAAAACCACCCGTGGCACTAAAAGCCACCGCATACCTAGGGGCGCCTGAAAAAGTTGGCGTTGGGAAAGCCTCCCCTCTGCCTTCTCCCTCCCCCCGGAGCCCGCTTTGTCCCCCGGCGACGAGGCATAAAGGCGTGAGGCCGGCCCTGCCAGGCGGCCCGGCGGGCTGATGTCAGAATATTTGCGGGGGAAGAAAGCGGGGCGGCAGCGGTCGGGGCAGCTCGGCCGTCCGCCCCACCCCGACATTCTTCGGGGCCGGTTCCCACAGGCGCGGAGCGGCACCGGGGGTCAGAGTGGCCGAGCACAAAGGGAGACCCCCCGCTGCCGGGGCCAGCGTGCTGGGCTGTCACCGCCGCTAATTCATGGCTTCACCTTTAATCTCGCAGATCCATTATAGGTTAAAAAGAGACCCATTTTACAGCTGACAAGATTGAAGGGAGCGCAACCCAGGAACCAGGGGGGGGAAGGGGGGAGAAAAAAAAAACGGGGGGGGGGGGGAATTTGGGAGCGGGTTGGGAGAGGAGTAGAGAGAGAAATAAACCCAGCTAAAGTTTGTACAATTAGAACCCATCTGCTAAAAGTAGACTTTGTGCTTTTGGCTTCTCCTTTCCCTGCGCTGCGAGGATGTGTGTTGTAAGAGGTAAGCGCAGCCGGCTCAGAAGTGGGGTGCGGGGTCAGGGAGAAAGGAGCGGGGAGGAGAGGGAGGCAGGAAAGAGGAGCGAAAGGACAGCGAGGATGGTTTGAGGAGCAGGGCTGCACCGTGGGAAGGTTGGAGTCATCCAGTGGCTCAGCGTTGCTTCAGCGAGGGTTTGATGAGGTCATCATGGGGAAATGACTAAGAAGCGTATGAAAGGTTGATGTCGAAGATAAGCTGATCAAATCCGCATTGATGCAGCAGAGTAGTAAGTATACATGTGTGACACTTGCAGCACGTTTGTGATGACGCAGTCCCAAATGAATTCTTAGAAATCATTGGAACTGCTGTGCTGCAAACAGTGGCAAACAGAAGTAATGCTTTTTATTTTTGTTACTGGGGTATCCGCTGTCCATTTGTCCATTAGCAAAGATTTGTATGTTGTCAGCATGGAGCTACTAAAATCCGTGTTCTCAGTGAATTTTTGGGAAAAAAATAAAAGCAAATGGGAAAGAAAAAAAGCATGCTTTATCTTCAAAAAGATCAGAGGGGAGGTGATTTGCCACAGAGCTGTGTAGTACTCGCTAGATATCTTTCAGCATTCAGTAAAAAATTCAATATTCTTGCAACTCATGGCTCTGTTCTACACAAATGAGGGTACTGTGTCAAGATGCTGGAGCACGATCCTTGTTTTTCTGCTTTCTGTATCTTTGACATAAATCTGTTACCCCAGGAGCAATTTGCCCACTGGCCTGGTCTGTCCTTCCTCCCACTGTCCTGGAGCCAAGAAGGAGATTGGTGAATTGTCCCCCTTTTTGCCATCCGAACTGCTGAAGCTGCACCTGTTAGAATTTTATGTCAGTGTCCACAGCCAGATGTGCAAAGTTTTTGCACCTGCTACCACACCATATCCCTAACTCTCTCCTCCCTGCTCCTCTCCATGCAGAGGAGCTCTGCGCTGTGACTGCCCCTCTGCTGTCAGGTGAGGCTGGAGGGTGATCACAAGGAGGGAAAGGGCCACCTGAAACTTGCAAAAGTTTAGAGGCGTCTGAAATTCCTGGGTGCAGTCTGTATCAGAGATCGGCTGCCTGCCTCTTTTGTGGGAGGATATAAGAGAGAACGGAGACCTTTGCGTGAAAAACTTCCGTCAGCTGAAGTCAGCGATTAAAGTCCTATAGAAAAGAGCCTCAAACCAAATCAAAACTTGATTTCCTAAGAGTGACACTGCCTGCAAATGGAGGCAGGCTGAGGTCCGCAACTGGCTGGCACTTTGGATGCGTTCTGCTTACTTTAGTCACACAAAATGACGTATTGATGTAAGCTTCCAGGATCTAAACAGGCAGCCCTTTCATAGGCAAAAGCCCTAATGAAGTCACTGGCAAGCAGCCTTGCTGGCCTAGGGCCTGCAGGCTGTTTCCCCAGTCAATACACTGGACCTAATCTTATAACTCTTGAGCATCGAACTCCATGTGTATTTTCCACAAGTATTTGTTCTCTTTCTGCAAAAGTGCAAGATTTGTGTGCTGGGGAGAGTGGTGTCAGTGAGCAGCTGCTTTTCCTTCAGCGTGAGTTGTTTGGGATATAGACTACATTTGGTACTGGTTGCGCAAAACCAAACCGCAGAGATGAGGTGTGGAAAGGCAAGAACATGGACTGACAAATAAAAATCTCCTTTTGTAAGTGCACACTTGAACACAAAGCAAAACAGAGTTAAAAGCAGAAGTTACAGAGTTTCATGTTGAGAAAATATACATTTTTACCTAGTAAGTTTCGGGCTGCTTCTAATTTAGTGGAACACATTAATTGATCTTGCAATTCTGCTGCAGTCAATGGAGCTGTCATAGTGAAGAGTTAGTGCAAGAACAATCCATCCAGTTTCTCAA